TTAAACAATTACATTAATGCTCATGGATATTATTTTTGAATAATTATTTGAGGGCTTGTATGCCCATGTTCGCCAAAGTGTGGCATAAACACTTTATTAAATGTTTCCGCTGCTTTAATTAATTATTTTACATTATGATTGTTTATGGATGTACTATTGTGAATGGTATTCAAGACGCCTTGTATAGTATGGATGAGTTGGACTGCGGTTGACTATTCGTACTGTACGGCGGGTTGTTGACGTGTCCGGGTAGGTCCGGGGCGTGACACAATCATAGCGGGACGGAGGGAGTAACATTTATAAGTTTGTACTTTATAACATTGTAATTCGTAAATTCTGTTTGTAGTCCCAAGTTCTCAACTGGCCAACTCCCAAACATTTACATATTTCATGTTGTTTGGACTTAAACTCTGTAATGTTTTAGTTTTAACTTTTAAGATTTCCATTTTGCCATTTTGGTTTGTAAACTTCAAAGTGTATTTAAAGTTTGAATTTTTTATTGCTAATTTTGTAACCCGAATTAACCTGATACCCGACCTGCACCCGAAATTAACCCGAAATTAAAAATCCCGAAATTAAGTTATTTTAAATGCATAGGATCGGGTATCCATTCAAGTCACCCGAAACCCGAAAGGGTCTTGGGTTTTTGAACCCGCCCGACCCGTGCTCCCCCTTATGCGTGAGAGCCCTTATGTGTGACTTCATTAGGCATTCACACCGTGTTTGGACGAGGTGATCCAGGATTAGGTATTGGGGCCCTCACAAATGCGGGCCTTTTGCCTTGAGTTAGTTTATGCCTCATTGAGGTGATGGAGGTCGGGGGTCCTGTACGGACTGAGGCATGTCAGGGGTGCCCATGGTCTGATTCATATCTTTTCTAGCATGGACCCTTGTCTGGCCGAGGGGTCCATGCGAGGGAGAGTTCTTTATTTGGGTCGTTTATATATATATATATATATAGGACTGCTCAGGTCCAGCCGGAGGGACGGGAGCAGCCGTCCGAACTTTACTGTTTGGGGCGGTTCCCGGTGGAATTTTTCGATGAATTTTTTTGAGCATGTTCCTCATCAAGTCTAGTTTGTCCATACCAAATTTCAGCTCAAAATTCGACCGGGAAGGCAGTCAAATAAATTCTTGAAACTTACTGCACTTTATATATGCGCAGAATGTGCAGTAAGTTTCAAGAATTTATTTGACTGCCTTCCCGGTCGAATTTTGAGCTGAAATTTGGTATGGACAAACTAGACTTGATGAGGAACATGCTCAAAAAATTTCATCGAAAAATTCCACCGGGAACCGCCCCAAACAGTGAAGTTCGGACGGCTGCTCCCGTCCCTCCGGAGGGACCTGAGCATTTCTGTAGAGATATATATATATATATATATATATATATATATATATATGAGGGCAGTTCACATCAGGAGTTCCTGATGAGAACCCCCGTGCGGAAAAGACCATCAGAGGGTCTTCCCGGTGGAATTTTTTGATGAAATTGTTTTAGCATGTTCCTCATCAAGTCTAGTTTGTCCATACCAAATTTCAGATCAAAATTCCATCGGGAAGGCAGTCAAATAAATCCTGGAAAAATATGGTGCATTCTGCGCACATATAATGTGAAGACCCTCTGATGGGCTTGTCCGCACGGGCCTGCTCTTCAGGAACTCCTGATAGGAACGAGACTCATATATATGTATATATATATACAGAAAAGATCAGGTCCCTCCGGAGGGACGGGAGGGACCGCCCGAACTTTACTGTTTGGGGCGGTTCCCGGTGGAATTTTTTGATGAAATGTTTTGAGCATGTTCCTCATCAAGTCTAGTTTGTCCATACCAAATTTCAGCTCAAAATTCGACCGGGAAGGCAGTCAAATAAATTCTTGAAGCTTACTGCACATTCTGCGCATATATAAAGTGCAGTAAGTTTCAAGAATTTATTTGACTGCCTTCCCGGTCGAATTTTGAGCTGAAATTTGGTATGGACAAACTAGACTTGATGATGAACATGCTCAAAAAGTTTCATCAAAAAATTCCACCGGGAACCGCCCCAAACAGTAAAGTTCGGACGGTCCCTCTCGTCCCTCCCGAGGGACCTGAGCAGTCCTCTCTCTCTCTCTCTCTCTCTCTCTCTCTCTCTATATATATATATATATATATATATTTATAGAGAGAGAGAGAGTAGAGATCAAATACAAACCCATCTTAATATGCTAACCTACAAACCTAATCTTAGCCATCCATCTCATTTAATCTTTACGCGCGTTCAGTTTCAGATGCCGAAGGTTAACTTAATCAACTAAAGGTTCCTTATGTCTTTTTGGTTTTGTTTTAATTTTGAAAACAAAAACACGTTCTCTTTCCACGTAACTGCTTCATCATTATTATTTTCTTTTCTTCTTTCTTCAGTATTGAAGCTTTAGTTCATTCTCATCTCAGAATTTTGTTTCTTCATCGTACAAATCTACTTTCGGCATAATTTCTTCATCACTATTAACAGGGGAGGCCATGGATTCCGTTATTATACCCTAGTTTTGTGAATTCTTTTTTTTTTAAAAAATTTATCTCCATCTCTTACTCCTTCGTCCCCATGAATTTTGCACGTTAGAAAATCTTTGTTTTTTGTTTTTTATGAGATGAATCATATTTTAACGTTTTGATTTTCGCCTTCATGAAATTCATCAAATTCATATTTATACAAATAAAAAAATGTTTAAGTGCTACTAGCTTAATCTACCTGAAATAGGTATGGTGTTCTTACGTTGATCATGCATTATGGATTATGTAACATCATGAATTTAGTATGCATGTCAATTGACTATAGAATGCAGATGTCATAGTGATAAGATGCAGTAACTTCTAAAGTGAAAATGGGAGCTCATCTGACCAAATTCAATATATAACTTCTAAAACACATAAGTCATAATGATATTAAATTGCAACATATGAGCTCCTAAAATAATGCACATGTCATAGCGTTAAGATGCAGTATGAACTTTTAAAGTGTACATAACTTTCTAATTGAGTGCAATACACAAACTTCTAAAATCCCCGTGTTATAATGATAAAATGCAAGATATGGACTACTATAATGATGCGTTGACATGTTTATCACTTTATAGTTCTAATAAAAGTTATGAAGATATTATAAATATATAATGCATATCTCGTAGTCATAATATGCACATCCATTAATCTTACTATGCACGTTCTGTAACTTTAATATGCAGACACTTTTACATTGTTCATCACTTCTTACAAATTTAATATGTTAAAAGTTAATACTTCCTCCGGTTTTTAATAAACTTCACACTTTCCTTTTTGGGACGGTCTAAAATAAACTTCACATTTCCTTATTTCCTTTTTTGGCAAAGAAATATACATCAAAACAGTGTCAAACAGTGCCAAACAGTGTCTCAACAGTGCCAAACAGTGTCTCTACAGTGCCAAACAGTGCCTCAACAGTGTACTCTACAGTAAAGTCAAATTTCTTTCCTTATTTTGTGTGAAGTCAAAGTGTGAAGATTAAATAAAACCGGAGGGAGTATAAATTATGCATCTTACTAAAGTGCAATATAAGAACTTCCAAAACGCACATGTCATAATAATAAAATGCAACACGTGAACTAAAAATGCACCTGTTATAACGATAAGATGCAATCAAAAGCTCACCATCCTTAATATGCATATCACATAACCTTAATATGCACTTTAAGTAAAATATTATCATATGCACACGTTATACTTATACAATGCACATCCCACAACCTTAATATGCAGTTCGCACGTATGTTTACTTCTCATATGCACTTGTCATCTTGCTAAAACTGTAATGATGAACTTATAAAACACAACATCGACATATTTTATCAATATGAGTTTCTAAAATAATTGATGCACACATTACGAATATATGATGCACATCTCGTAATTTTAATATAAAGTGTTGTATAATGCATATTCTCTAATCTTAATATGCACTGCTCACATATATTAAATTTCTACTTGTGTTAAAATATTAACTTTTTCATTCGATAATAGGAGCTAAGTTTCGAAAATAGAGGTTTATTAAGAACCGACTATTTCATAGAAATTATTAATTACAAAAAGGTAAATTACTTATCAATTCATGATTAACTCCAATCATATCATATTATCATGGGGTTACCTTGTCTGCCACTTACATTATATAATTTCCATATATTTGGATTGTTAGTTGTTTAGTGGGAAGTATAGCACCGTTCAAATCAGTTAGTGGGATATCTTTTTTTTTTTTTCAAATTACATTTGTGACCTTTTAAATGCCTAAAGCTATAAAACGGTGTTATCCGTTTTTTTCTCATACGGCTGAGTGCAGCGCCTTTCGATAATCACCAGCCGTTCGCATGATTTAATCCAGCGGATGTTGTTGGTTTGTAGGTTAGCACAGGAAGCTTGGTTTGCATGGGATCTCACCCCTACATATATATATATAGGAAAATCTTCTGGTAAGGTATAGCTTACCGGAGCCGCCGTGCGGCCTCCACGTTTTGAGAGTCTTCCCGGGGTAATTTTTCGATGAATTTTTTTTATCATGTTATTCATCAAGTGTAGTACATCCATACCAAATTTCAGAAAAAAATTCAATCGGGAAGGCAGTCAAACGATTTTTGAAAGATAACTGCGTTTTATATGTATATAAAGGGTGCAGTTATCTTCCAAAAATCATTTGACTGCCTTCCCGATTGAATTTTTTGCTTAAATTTGGTATGGATGTACTAGACTTGATGAAGAACATGATCAAAAAATTTCATCGAAAAATTCACCAGGAAGGCTCTCAAAATGTGGAGGCCGCACGGCGGCTCCGGTAAGATATACCTTACCGGAAGAGTTCCCATAATATAGAATAAGAATGTTAGCTTAATCGTAAAAAAAATTAATATAATCAGATAACTTTTATTAATAGAATGGTAAACAAAATTGATCTGAATTTATAATAAAAATATTTCAAATAAGCTAATTATTTTTTATTGGGACGCCTTCACTTCTTCAATTCGTTTGTTCAAGTTTACATATCAAGTCAGTGTCTGAGATGATTCAATTTCAAATTAAATAATCTAAATGTCCTTTGTATGAAAAGAATTTGCCTTAAATGGGACTAAAACATTAAGTAAATTCCAAAACAAGACTACAAGTTTATAATTTCCAAAATAGGACTCCGGATTACATTTTTGCCCTTCTTCTAACTAAACCCAAAAGCCCAGCTCATCTCCGTCAGATTCAATGACGACATCTCTCCCTCTGCATTGAACACCATTGACTAGCCTCCTTGTCTCTTCCCCTGCGATTTTTCTCACCACCATGGATCGCAGCGACACACCTATTTGGTGATACCTGTTCGGTGATTTTCTGGCGAAACCAGGTAAGTTTCTAAGTTTCTTTCCCTCCTCTATCTTCAACCTTCTTCTTCTCATTCTCTTCCAGATCCTCTGCTTTTTTATTTTTTGATCTATCAATCTGTTAGTTTTCAGATTGTTAATTGAACAATTTCACTTTTTACAGTTTGATTTCAACAAAGCCCCGTTAATCATAAGTTTTTACTCAAAGAACACGAATTTCAACGAAGGCCAATTGATAAAAAATATACTAGTATTACAATTTTACCTTTTTTTATCAATTTGATTAATCTTGAACATAAGAATGTTGTGGTCGCTGATTCTCAGAAAATGCCACTTTTAATCATGAAAATGTCATAATTATTGGTTATTTGTCAAAATGCCACTTTTATGGTTGAGAATGTCATAATTATTGAATGTCATAATTATTGGTTATTTGACAAAATGTCACTTTTATGGCAGTACATTTATCAAACTGACAATCTCACTTTGAAATGCCATTGCATCTGTAATGCCATATTTTTAGCATTTTTGTCAAATGATGTCATTTTTAGACACTAAATGTATATTGAATGTCACTTTTATTTTTTCATTTTCATCTCATATTTTAAATTTTCATAAAAAATTGAATGTACAAAAATATGAAATTGAAAATTTCTTTATTTTTATAAAAATTCTATATTTTCACAATCTAAAAATGCTACTTTTCTATACAAAAATGCCATTCAATATTAGTTCTTGGCATTTTCTATATCTAAAAATGCCATTCAATATACCTAAAAATGGATTCTCAAATATATGAAGTTGCAGTTGAGAAATTAAATATAAAAAAAACATTGGAATTGAACCAGACCTAATCCTAGATGTACATTTGAATCGTGATAAAGTTGTTGGCTTATAACGTAGCTAGTGTGGAATAAGTGATCATCTCACAGGATTTGTACAACAGTGATCTCACCAGATGTATATATGCAGCGGTGGTCTTACCGGCGATGATGGCGGCGTCTTCATTGGGCAGTGGCGGCGGCGGCCTTGCTATGCAGTGGCGGCGGCCTTGCTAGGCAGTGGCGGGGGCGGCCTTACTGGGCAATGGCAGCGGCGACCTTGTTGGGCCTTGCTGGGCAGTGGCAGCGGCAGTCTTGGCGTTAGTGGCTGGAAAAAAGGGTATGCGTGGTGTTGGTGGTCTGGAGGTCTCGCTGCAAGGACTCATCCATGCAGATGCAGGGGCTTTTATTTCAATAAGGGCAAATTTGTCTAATCATTAATTAAGAGTCCTATTTAAGGAAGAGTAAACTTAGTGTCTTATTTTTGCAAATTTAGGATGTTTTAGTCCCATTCGGACAATTCTCTCTTGTATGAACTATCACTCATAAATTAATAATAATACCCACTTTTGAAATAATTTTTAATATTATTAACTATTTGAATATATAACAAAAAATGACAAGTCACTTCCAGAATATAAATCATTTAGCTCATGATCAATAACTTATAACAAACACTCAAATAAATATTATTTTCAAATGCATATTATCATTTGTTATCAGTGATGGCCATTATTTTTTAAATTTATTATTTTCCCAGTTATTAATATTTTGGAGATGCCAAATTCCTTTTTCTGATCGGGTGGTCACCCTCACCACGCACAGTGCCGGCCAATTTCTTGAGTGATTTGTGAAATGTTTGAAATGCGTTGCAGCCTTTGGGAGGTGGAAGGTGGGAAACATAGCAGGTGATTGAGTCAACATACCATCCACTCTTTCCCTTGAACCCGATGATCCTTGTGCCTCCTTTAACGGATAATGAAAACGGCTCTCCTTCTTCTATCCCGAATGGACCATATGTTGTCCTATTGCTTGTAAAGGTGAGAGCCCGTATCACAAGGCTTCCATGATGTTGTCCATAATATCCCCTCACACTTATTAGGTATTCCTCTGGATATTGTAGTTTAACCTACATGCATGCATGATAATATTGGAAGTGTATAGTATATAAATATACTCCGTATATACTAATATATGAGAGTATGTTTGGTAAAATGTGAAAGAATATATTGTACAACAAATGTAGAGGCTTGCAGAATTTACACATATAGTTTAGGTTGATTATTTCATGTTAATTATGCATCACTTTTTAAACACTTCAAAACTATCATGTAAACTATTTTATACATGATAATGATAAAATATTGAGAAAATACTCAAATATTACTAAAAGACATGTGTTTTCGGAATATATGACTACATACTTCTTTTATCTCTAATCGAGTGACTTAGCTTAATTAATTGATAATGAGATAGTAGGTTTACGTAGTGAAACATGAAAGTGGCTAAAAATGGGAAAAAAACATTACCGTGCATGAAAATGGATGGTAACATGCACCATTTTAGCTAAAAACACAGGTAGCCATATTAGGAAAATACATGTCTTTTAGTAATAATAGAGGTAATTAATTTATCTAAACTATTTTTCTTGCTTTAATTTTCTAAAAGAATGCAATTACTTTTTCCAAAAAAAGTGCAATTACTATGCGTGTAATTTAAATATAAAATACACATTTAATCAAATAATATATTTTTAAATTACATTGAAACAAATTACACACCCTTCTATTATTTCCAATACATCACTTAAGTCATTTTACTAAAACAAACATCATATAAGCACCCCTACTTTTTAAATACAACCAATCAAACCATTTTGACCTTCTATTGCATGTTATTTTTTATTACTCCCTCCATCCCGCTATTAACTTCCTACTTTGACCTAAACACATATTTAGAAAATAAATTTGACTTTACTGTTTAGACACTGTCTGACACTGTTTTGCACTGTTTGACACTATTTTAATGTAGGATAACTTTCCATTTAGGGAAATGAAAAGATGATTTTGGGACGGCCAAAAAAGGAAAGCAGGGAGTTAATAGCGGGACGGAGGGAGTAATAAATTACAAATATTTAATTTGTAAGGGAAAATCACTTATTTAATTGATTATAACATTTGTTTAAAATGCATATTCTAATTTATTAAGTATATCTTATTTTTGAACTAATTCCAAACATACCTTTTGGAAAGTTTTTTGTGGTTACCATTCAATTACCTTTTTCTTACTCAACCACAACCATACATTTCCACTTTATTCCTACTTTCTTAAACTCTGATCCAAGTCAATGCGGAAACAATTTTATGGGACGGAAGGAGTATTATACTCCCTCCGTCTCGCTAGAAGATTCCCGTTTCGGTTTACGATGCTTGACTGATGATAAAGCAACTTAATCCCTGTTCACGCTCTGATTATTTTTAATAAAAAAAATTTACATATTGAGAAACTACATTAAAACCGCTATAAAGCGTAATAAAGAATGTAAATTTGATAAAAATTTGATATATAAAGCAAGAGATTAAAACTGATTTAAGTTGACCATATGAATAGTGGACGTGAACCTTCTAATGGAATGGAGGGAGTATTAAAATTACATCCATAAGCAAAACAATTATCATATACCTTTTATATACAGTCTAGCTTATTTATCTAAATCTTAAACACCAATTTTAGTGTCACGATATCCTATGTAATTAATAAAACTTTCTGAGAGCTGAAACTCTCGACCAACATATATTAAGATATATATTAAGATATATTAATATATACCGGGAGGAAATAATATAAAGACCCCGAGCTTTTGAGGGATGTGGGGTAAACACCCCAACTTTATGTAAAGAGTTATTTTAGCATCATAATCATATTTTTCTTTTTATTTTTTATTTGAAAGAAATCATTTTTTTCTTTCACAAATGCAATTTTATGAAATTACACTATAATTATAGTTTTAAGTAAATTACTTAAATATTATACTACCTCCGTCCCTTTTAGATTGTCCCATTTTTCTTTTCGAAAAATCCACCAAGATTGTTCATACCAAATTTCATAAAGTTTGTTTGGCTCCAAATCATTTTTATTTTATTCTTACTTTATCAATTCAATATCAATCATATAAACTCATTATTCTTAATAATCTTGTCATTCTCTCATGTCCCAATGTTAGTGGGTTGATGGCAGTAATAATTTTTGAGTGAGCAATTAACATTTTAAACATACCTGTTAATGTTTTTTATTTAAAATATTGAAGCTTAGATAATAATTTCATCCACATAAATGCCAAAAACATTTTCGATTATATATTTTAAACATATGTATTTATAAGTGTTGTAACATTTTTTTGTACTCCAACTATCACAAAAAATATCAAATTCATAAGAGAGTATTTTTTAAAGTGTTAAATTATTTTTTTATTTTTATATATTCAATATTGGTGTCATTTGAAAGATAATAAAAAAATTATGAAATTTGATATATTTTTTGTAACAAAAGTTATAGTACTTTAAAATAAACATGAGATTTTTTTTGAATAAAAATTTATAGCTATTTAAAAAGTTTTTTAAGTGTTGGTTGTTACGTAGGATTCTGCTTAGTCTTAAATTAAGGTGACTTCTAATCTAAGTTATATACTATTCTAATGGAAGTATAGTTAATATACTCAATTTGAAAAAAAAAATTTAAATTATAATGAGTGTTTGCTTAGAAGATGACATGTGGCATACCTTTCCATAATTATATCTTTGAAATGTATTATTTATAGATAGATAGATTTGGATTTAATATGGCAGGGGTAAGTCGTCAAACCGTTTGAGTGAGCAATTAACATTCTAACATTATAAGTCACCAAACGGTTTGGTGACTTTCTCCGACCATGGTTAAACCCAGCAGTAGATCGATAAATACTTTTAATCCAGCATTATTTTCGTAATTAATTAATTAGCATTAATTTTAAAAAAAATAATAAAAGTACTCCATATAAAACAAGTACTCTGTAGTTTAATACTCCGTACTATAATGTACTGTATACTACGTACGAAATAGAGGGATCAAATTAATTTAAATCATTATTCCTTGAATTAAAACCAGGCATGCATCTGAATTAAATGAACGCATATAGTACCGTTGTGACATGTGGTTTTGGCACCCCGATGGCACCATCTTCTCCATGTTTTTCAGCAGGAGATGCTTTGCCATGCTTATCGTAAACTACAGTAATGGAGTCGATGCAATGTCCGTGAGCCACTGTTATCTCTCTTATTCCATCGTAAGAATTCCCATCATCCCAAGCACGGCCTCCAGGCCCACCACGCGGCCCGATTTCGGTTATTTTCTTCTTCGTGTCTGTTCTCGCTGCCTGCATTATTTATTATTAGGAGGAACATGAAACGAGAAACGCCGAAAAACAACCATTTAATTAGAGAGTCTCTATAGAGTTTTTTGAAACGAAAATGTACCGTTTTTTGAGAATTCTCTTATATACTCCTTAATAGCTCATCACATTATATTGTTATTACAAACGTATAAACTTAATGGTGTTTGGATCTACTTCATAAAATCGTTTCTGCTTCTTCATGAAATAGAAATATACATTGAAGGATTTATTAGAAGTGCATAAGTATTTCTGAGAGCTCGAAATTGTTTATAGCACAAGTGTCTTAATTAGAAACTGGGTGATACCAACTTTTCAAAAACTAATTTTTATTCTAATTCTGATTTTAAAAAAGAAACAAAAACATAATCATTTCCAAATATCCCTATCTCAATACTCAAACCAAAAGAAACGCAGAGGTCAATTCAAGATAGAATCACGGTACCATGTGAGTTGATCCAAGAAAATGAAGAAATAAACAGATGAAATCAAACTACCAGCCGATTTGGAGCCATCATATCAATAATGAATAAATAAATATTGGTTTCTATATAAATATAAATATATAATGAGCAATGCAAGTCATGACTATATAGAGCAAGTGTCTTAGGAACTATGGAAGGAAAGCAGTGAGATTCGTTTGGAAAGCATAAAATGTGTTGTGGCATCAGTATAATTGCCTTTTTCTATTCTTTTTAATTATGGTGCAATATTAACTTTTCTCTTTCAAAAAAAAACTTTTCTGTCATATGTAAGATGTAAGAATCGGATACGTACGTACTGGAGTAGGAAGCTAGGCCGGTCTTCTATCTTTGACGAAATATTATATTCCTCTACCTCCACTTTATCTTAAGACTCATTAAATACTACTCCATTCCATCAGTTCCATTAAAATTGAGACAATCTGATTTATGATGCTTGAATGATGATAAAACAAACAAATACTTGTTCGCACTCAAATAATTATTATTTAAAAAACATCATATTTAGAAACTACAACAAAATTAGTTTTACAAAGTTGCAACAACATAATCAAATTTGATGTATAAAGTAAGAGATTAAGATTGATTTGAATTGACCAAGTGAAGAGGGACTGAGAATTTTAGCGGGACGGAGGGAGTACTAGGTACCAGCTACGGGCAAAATTGCGTGATTTACCAAACCAAAAAAACTAAAAAAAAACGGTACTTTGGATTGATTTAATTGGGTTCAGTTAAGTAAACTGTTTAGTAACAATTTGTTCAAATCCAATGATTTGCTTTGATTCAGTTTCAATTGAAAAGTCGCAAATCGAACCGAACAACTTATAATTTTTATAAACATGCTTTGTATTTGTGTTCACCCTCATATTTAGGATAAATAAATAACTTCGATATAAAAAAGGGAGATTTCCCAAAATAGGACTAAATAGAGTTTGGAATTCCAAAATAGGACTCTTATGTTTTTCTTTCCAAAATAGGACTAAGATGACAATATATATTGCCATGTTTTAGTCATGACTGCCAAATAGTTGCAGTATTGCGCATTTAACATGACAATACTACCTCCGTCCCAAGGACAAGTTTCCACTTTCCTTTTTTGGCAGTCCCAACAAAAAGTTCTCATTTCCCTAAATGGAAAGTTATCCTACATCAAAGCAGTAACAAACAGTGCAAAACAATGCCAAACAGTGTTGAAACAGTGCCAAACAATGTTGAAACAGTGCCAAACAGTGTCGAAACAGTGCCAAACAGTAAAATTTACCCCTCAGTAACTTTATTTCCTTAATATGTGTGAAAGTCAACCCGGGAACTTCTCCCTGGGACGGAGGGAGTATTTATTATAATGAATGACAGTATTTTTCAATCATGGCAGTATTTTTCGATCATGACAATAACGACTCCTATTTCGGAAAGAAAAACATAGTGATCCTATTTTGGAATTCGCAAAGTTATTTACTCCTATTTAGGGTAATTTCCCTATAAAAATTACAAGTTTAACATATACAAAGTGTACTATTTTAACTTTTACACTTTTCATACATTCATTGACAAAGTTAATTATAAGACCTACGTGTATTTGTTATATTGTATATTCTACTTGTACGAAAAGATGTTTGACGATGCCAATAGCTCATTGTATTTATGTCAATAAATAACTAAAGTACACAATACATTTTACACGATTCATTTGTATAAAATTATGAATTTTACAACATTTGTACCACCAACTCATTTAGTTTTTATTGAATATATTTTTTGTGACTACGAATTTTAAATGTTAATCAACTATAAACTTATCTTTTGTGAGAGCTGAATATTTTTTTCTAGTAGTTAGAAAGATGCTAGAAGTTTTCATGTCATCTGTCTTAGTAAGACAAATTTAGGGCCATGAAATTTCTTTTTCCATATTTTTAGCTGAAAAAGAATCTTTTCCATATTTTTACTCATTTAGGGCAATTTCACCTAATTAAATTAATTAATTAATTAATTAACCTAATTAATTTCTCATAGTTTCATTGCATAACCAAGGTTAGTCCGTTGGTGGCAGATCAGTCCGTGGTGGCAGCAACATACTCCGACAACAGTAGAATTCTAGCAGGTCATCGAAAATTTTCTAGAAAAAAACAGTGGCAGCCGACGGTCCAGAGACCTGAGGGCAGCTGTGGTCCAGCACTATGAGGGTCTTTTGGCCTAATCACAAACAAAAGGGTCTATTTAAGGCATTATAAATAGTACTATCTCCGTCCCTTAAATTTTTGGCAAAGTTGACCGGCACGAAGAGTAATAAAGTAAAAACTTTGTGGTTGATGTTTGTACGTGCAGAGGAGACAGAAATAACAGAAACCACAAACTAATTGATTAAAAGTGAAAGTGACAAAGTTTTTTGGGACGTCCTAAAAAGGAAAGATGACAAAGTTTTAAGGGACCGAGGGAGTAGGTCTAAATCTCCCAATATAATAAAAATAGAATAAAGAGATGATTCACCAAATAGGAGTAGAAGGTGTTAGAAGTGAAAAAATACTAGTAGGTTTTTAAGATTCCTGAAATGAGAGTTTTTTTTACGTGATTGGACATGAATACCCTTGCAGGGGTATTAGCCTTGCCATTGCCACAGTGCCGCCGCCGGTAGCCGGAGCTCATGCAGAACAAAGTCATTCAGATATCGCCACTACCACCTACTGTCGACGGTCATTGGAGTTTCACTACCTGTGACGACGTCGTCATTGCCAACAGATTGATCCTGTATCCAAGAGAACTACGGGGGAATTAATTATATATATTAATTAAATTAGGGGTAGAAAGTTAATGTTTAGTCCTATCTATGGATGATGAGAAAACAACTCAGGGACAAGTACATCTCCCTATTATGTTAATTAAATCTTCTTTATGTATATTAATTCAAGCAGATCAATAATAGTTTGAATTATTTCTATCCATTTTTCTTGACGTTTTTCATTGTTAATTGATGATTTTTTTTATTTGATCGGTTTGTTTTCTCAAACAATATGTTTACTAATTAATTTTATTAATTGAGAAGTTATTCTGTTCGTCTGTTCTGAATGTTTCTGATATGAACTTTTAAGATCTGGTCTGATCTATCTGAACTTTTCATATCTCATATGATTTGATCTGAATCTTTCTGATTTGATTTGATCTGAATATTTCTGAGCCCATTGAGTTATTCTTATTATAAAGAGTAAAATGCATAAATGGTCCTTAAACTATCATCACCATATCGTTTTGGTCCTTCAACTAATAAATCTATCATTCTAGTCCTTAATCTATTTAATACATTTTAATCCAATCCTTTTGTTACTTTTGGCCGTTAACATTAACGGTGGCCAACTTTCCAGGTTTATTAAATTTTATAAGACCATCTTTCATTAAAATTACTATTACAGCATATTCTTTCATTTGAGTTTCTTAGGGCTGGCGGCAACCATGAAAAACGATCAACCCAAGTTTCTTCCCCTGCGAAAGTGAAAAGGCTCTTTTCATTACTAAGGTACAAATATGAGTTGGAGTTTAAGAACCGAGGGAATTATAGAGAAGAAGGTATATGGTAAGTAATCAAATATGATCCCTTAATATTATAGTGACTCCATACTCTATTATAATATTTTTAGAGGAGTTAGAGGTGAAGACCAAGTTGAGGTTGTAAACATGGTGTTGTATTTGATTCTATGGAATACAATAACTTCATCATCATAAATGGTAGAGATGAAACCTCCGTGCACACCAAATGTTTGATATTTGTTCTAAACCAACTTATGATTTTTTTTTATATTTACAATGCTTATTTTCAATATATGAAGGTATTCATCCTAAACAGGTAAAACAAATGGGGAAGATCTAAATCCTAAGTGAAGCAAATTGAACACGAAATGTTGGATTGATGCATTCCTCTTGAAAGGCAACTATAATATCGACATTTACTTGTAATTTGAAACCAATTTATCTGTATGAACCTTTTTCAAACATTTATGTTGTACCCTCCTCCTAGCTAAACTTATTTTGTAAATTTTAAAGAATATGTGTTGGAAAAATTTAAAGTATTTCAAATGAATAAAGTTTACTTGGTTTAATTATTTTGATAACCTTTTAATTTAATTAGATTTTACAAATAAAACATTATTTGTACGGTTTGTGAGCTCTGGAGTTATCATATCATTAATATCCATTTATTTTCATAAGAATACAAAATGTTTATTTTTATTAAAAGGTAAATGTTCCACTCTTGGTTACTAAGCTTTCAAATTAATAATGGCTCAACATAAACGTATGAAACGTTCTTGAGCTTTTATTACTAATACTCCGTATATGCTTAATTAACTTAGTGGGAGTTGAAGAATTTTTCAAGATTAATCTCAACATTAGTGGGATCTTATTGATTAATAATATGAACGTTACTACTCTAACACTTCATCTGATCGAGCATGTAGCAACGTTCATCTCTTTGAGTATATATATGTGCATTCAGCCAAGCTAGTGAAGAAGATTGTGAGATAATAAAATTATTTTTGCGTTCAACATCCCCTAATACATTACAACTCTGCTGGATTAATTATATTTTACTCTCGTTGTTCTGTTACCGGCTTACGCCGAAGAGCTCGTTTTATCTTGGGGAAAGGTTTTCGCTAGTCGGAAATACTTTCTTGAGGACAGCGTTTACGCGACTCGAGCTATATTATTTTTCTAACAATTTTTTGCAGGTTTATCCGGCGAATTTCCTCCAACAATCTCAAGAAAGTATCTGGCGTCGGATATATCTGCACACGTGATGTCACAACGCTGTGATACACCCGCATGGGAAGCCATTTTCAATCGGATAAACGTTCACAAAAGTCTTCTATATATAATGGTTAGTCTCACCACTTTCCTACTTACAATAAGTCATATTTTAACTCCAATTTTTAAGAAAAACGTTATTCGTTTATTTAGTGATAAAATGACAACTATGAAAAACAACAACCCACTAAAATCAAGTTTAAACTTGGTTGGTAGTGATGATAATTTTATTGTGGTTGTTTCTCAAAGTTGTAAAATTAATGATGTGAATGAGTGGGTGGTAGACTCCGGGGCTACCAAGCATATTTGTAAAAACAAAAATGCTTTTACCTCCTATACTACTATGGGAGATGGTGAAGAGCTCGTGTACCTAGCGGACACTAAAACCGTTAAGGTGCATGGAATAGGGAAAGTTCTTCTTAAACTCACATCGGGGAAAACTTTATCACTAAATGATGTGCTTCATGTGCCCGAGATTCGGACTAATTTAGTTTCCGTTTATCTCTTGGGAAAAGTTGGGGTTAAAGTTTCTTTTGGTTGTGATAATTTTGTTATGACAAAAAATGATGTTCTTGTGGGAAATGACTATTGTAAGAAAGGACTTTATATACTTGGCATTTCTGAAATATTGCATGATAATGCTTCTATTTATTTAATTGATTCTTATGATGTGTGGCATGCTAGATTGAACATGCAAGTAATTCCTATATTAAAATACCAAATGGTTGTGGTTTGGTTTCTAGTAAATAAAATGACACTAGAAAAATGTGATGTTTGTGTTCAATGTAAAGAAAAATAAAAAATAAAAATATCATGATTAGAGGTCGTAAGAAAAAAAAAATATTTTGTCACCCCTATAGATGATTTTTCTACATACACTAAAGTTTATGTTCTTACAAATAAAGATGATTTTTTGATAAATCCTTAGTGTATAAATCTGAGGTGAAAAATCAAGTACATAAAAAGATTAAGAGAGTTAGATTGGATAGAGGGGGCGAGAATATTTTATTTAATGATTTTGTGAATTTTAGAAGGGCTATGCACCTGTTTTAAATATCTAAAATTGTGGGGGTGCTTAGCTAAAATTCCATTACTTATCTCGTTGAGTTAAAATGAACTTTATAATTGTTGACTACCTTTGAATAAATTGAAAAAGTGAAGCACATATGGGTTTTTTCTTGTGAACATAGTGTGCTAATGTGTAATACTTTAAGCTATGTAATTGCTAATATTAATGTGATATGTTTGGAGAATGTGTACCCACCAAATGATGCATAGTATGATTATTTGTTAATATGTTTTGAAACAAAAACGCTGAATTTTTTGAAAAATGGGTTTCCTTTGAAATTTGAGCACAAGACCGTTGCACCATATAGTGAGTATAATTCATTACAAGAAATGAAACCTTTAACGATGAACCCTCTAGTGATAGTGATCTATTAAAAGAAAATTATTCTTTTAATGATGAACCTTCTCTTTTGAGAAGAAGCAAGAAGCCAATGATAGAGAAATCTTTGGAAATGATTCTTATACATATCTTTTGACTTATTTATAATAATAAAAAATCTTGGGTCCATATAAACTGAAATTGACTCTACTCACAAACTTTTTCCATCAAGTGGATGTTAAAATTTTGTTTTAAATGAAGAGCTAGAGGAAGAAATTATATGGTGCAACCGGAGGGTCATGTGGTTACTAGTCAAGAACACAAATTGTGTAAATCGATTAAATCCTTTTATGGGTTGAAACAAGATCCAAAACAATGGAATGAAAAATTTGATGAAGTGTTATGAGAAGTAGAAAAGTGTGTTTGCACTAAATGTGAAAAGTTGTGTGCATTATTATTTACTTGTATGTGGAATTGTGGATTATATGTGAACTTTATAGTATGAAAAATTTGGCGGTAGCAAAAGTGATTTTGGCTATGTAAGTCATAAGGAAGGATTATGGTATTATAACTATAATATCTCAAAAGCAGTATGTCGATAAACTTTTAAAGAGGTTGGACATTTCAATGTCATCCCGTGAGTATCCCTTATGACTCTCATATGCACTTAAAAATATAAGAGATGATCTTAAGGCTCAATATGAGTATTCCCAAATTATTGGATGTTTATTACATTTCATAAATTGTATATGAGGCCCAACATAACTTATGTTGTCGGAAGATTGAGCCGATATACTCATAACCCAAGTGGGATCATTGGACTGCGTTGAGGCGGTTATTGAGATATTTGAGAGGTACCATTAATTATGGTATATTTATTAAGAATTATCCGATGTACTAGAGAGTCACATCGATGTTATATTTTATTGAGAATTATCCGTTGTATTGCCGGGATACAACGACGAAATCTGAGTCGACTCACATGAGATAAATTAAAATAGTGGATATCCATTCACCCTTAATGGTGGTGCAATGATGTTTGAGAATGGAATTATTTCCATTAATTTTGTGAAGGAATTAGCTACTCCTTGACAGAATCCCTAGGACGAAAAATGATAACCGAAACATCGAAGGAAATGGGACTAGTGTCACTTGAAACGAATGGGGATGGGAACCCAACTTGTGTGATTGGAGATCCCATGAAGCAAGTTCATATGGGTAATAACAAGTCTTTCATTTAGTTCTGCTAGCCTAATTAAAATAGTCCATTTCCATGATGTGAGATATAGGCTAGAAACCGCATTCTTTGAGATGGTGAGCTAAGAGCTCTTAATGATTATCATAGCCCTTAACTTTAGGGTGGTGTGCAAAAGCGGTACACACTTGATGATATCACCTATATGAGTGTGAGGTGGGGCCGCCTCTATGAAGCATGAAAAAACTTCTAGAGCACTCATGAACACCAAGCACGCGCATGGCCTTACGGCGCACAACGGCGTAATAACGAGAAATTGTGCGGGATGAGACACGACCGTTAAGACCCTGATTTACCAATAGTAGCTTGTTGGTTTCAAGAAACTATAGGTTTCACCACAAGCTCGGTTTATTAAGACTTAATCGTCTCGGTTTGGTTCATAGTCTACGGACACCAAACTTAAAGTCTCATTCCTTTAATCCAGCAAAAATTTTCTAAACTATTTTTAACATCTAAAAATATTCATTTGAAATATGTGGGGGATTGTTGGAAAAATTTAAAGTATTTCAAATGAATAAAGTTTACTTGGTTTAATTATTTTGATAACCTTTTAATTTAATTAGATTTTACAAATAAAACATTATTTGTACGGTTTGTGAGCTCTGGAGTTATCATATCATTAATATCCATTTATTTTCATAAGAATACAAAATGTTTATTTTTATTAAAAGGTAAATGTTCCACTCTTGGTTACTAAGCTTTCAAATTAATAATGGCTCAACATAAACGTATGAAACGTTCTTGAGCTTTTATTACTAATACTCCGTATATGCTTAATTAACTTAGTGGGAGTTGAAGAATTTTTCAAGATTAATCTCAACATTAGTGGGATCTTATTGATTAATAATATGAACGTTACTACTCTAACACTTCATCTGATCGAGCATGTAGCAACGTTCATCTCTTTGAGTATATATATGTGCATTCAGCCAAGCTAGTGAAGAAGATTGTGAGATAATAAAATTATTTTTGCGTTCAACATCCCCTAATACATTACAACTCTGCTGGATTAATTATATTTTACTCTCGTTGTTCTGTTACCGGCTTACGCCGAAGAGCTCGTTTTATCTTGGGGAAAGGTTTTCGCTAGTCGGAAATACTTTCTTGAGGACAGCGTTTACGCGACTCGAGCTATATTATTTTTCTAACAATTTTTTGCAGGTTTATCCGGCGAATTTCCTCCAACAATATGAAATACTTCCATTAACAATTAATCCTTGTTAGCAGAATTGTTATTTCGAAGAACTACTTCGTTATTTACTTGTACTTAATCAGTGTGATTTTTGGTTTGTTAATTGATCTAAAATCTTAAGCTATATGTATTAATGAAATACTTTAATTATGTTTTATGCTTTCATAGAACAAAAGCTGGAAGTCATTTTTATTCTCAACTTTTCACTTGCAGGTGATAATTCTGACTATTTCACAATTGAAATGGTCTGTGGAGGTCATCCTGCCACTGTTAACGGCCAATTCGAGCGTGGATGTCTTACAGTTAATTATTTTGATTTCTGTGAAATGGATAAGATGTCATATATGGAGTTGGTGGCCATGGCAAAGGAAATTCAGCATACCGGACTAGTTTGTTTTTATTGGAAACGTTATACCCCCAATGTAGAAGAGTCTCCTTTTTTATTAATAGTCGGTGACGAAGATGTTTTAGAAATGTGTAGAAATCGACCACCTGACAGGCAAGTCACAATCTACCTTAGTTATGAATTAATGCCAATGTTGGATCATACTATGGTCACATATAGTGCTCCATCTGATGAACAACTCTTGAAACAAGTTAAAGGATATCGAAATGCTGAAACAAGTAGCGAGACAGACAGTGATAGTGAAAGTGGTTTTTATGATTCTGGGTATGACCTAGATGATGTTGAAGATGATAAACTTTTTGAACAAAGTGTCCATTCCAATTTTGAGGAAGATGGTAGAGGGGCTAATGGAGGTTTTAATAGTAGGGAAATCACTGCTGAAATTTATGAAATTCTGACTGAAGTGACTGCATTGGCTGATTCTGCTGATTTAAGAAAAAATTACTTTTAAAATCTATTTTATTAATAAAATAAAGAAAAAATTATATGTAAAAATAGCTAAAATGATCATCCACAGTAACTTCAGCCAATACAGTCGGAAAAGTAACCTCAATCATACTTTTTCTCCTTATTACACAATTCAGCGCGGGAAAGCAAAAATTACGTGTTTAGTGAAAAAGCTGGTTGATAAGCCGAAAAACTGTGTTGCCAAACGACCTCTAGGTTTTTTGGAGCTCTAGGTTCTCTCTTTATTTTTTATATTTTTTTTTAATTTTTGTCCAAGATGACGTTGCTGGGCTTCAAGCTCTAGGTTTTCATGATGATTTAATAAAGTGATGTGTGCTTGTATTTGGGATGTCATCGGTTCAAATTAAACATTAAAGGTTGAGTAATTTAAGTTAAAGATGAGTAATGTATAAAATTTAAGTTAAAGATGAGTAATGTATAAAATTTAATGAAGGTTGAGTGTTTGACCATAAACAGCAAATGTTAACGGAAGGTAACAAAAGGATTGGATTAAAATGTATTAAATAGATTAAGGACTAGCATGATAGATTTATTAGTTGAAGGACCAAAACGATATGGTGATGATAGTTTAAGGACCATTTATGCATTTTACTCTATTATAAATTAAATAATTATAATATTAAATAATTATTTCTTTCAACTTCCATGTGTTTGGTGAAGGTATGCCTTCACTAAAGATGTTTTGGTTTGGCTCTCCTCTTCTTATGTATTTCATTTATTATCATTAATAAAAGCTGGTAAAAGTTCCCCGACATTTACCCAACTGATTTTGGTGGTTTGCCCTCCTGGTTCAAAATAATGATGATGATGATGATGATGATGATGATAAGACCATTTGCTGGACTGACCCTCGATCTCTAGCTCCCCTGGGCTTCTGTCTTCCTCCTTGGCAGGTCCCATCGGCCGACGAGTGGCTACGGCTCCACCGGTACCCACTAATGTTTCCACAGATCAATCTTTGGGGTTTGGGGCTCCATCAATCACAAATACTTTTTACAACAAACTCCTTGCGGTTGAAGATTACTTGGCTTCAGTGACACAATTTGAATCTTTTCTAGTCTCTCATGGCCTTTTAGGCATACTAGACGGTACACTTTTGACTTCTTCCTATATGTTTACGATGTTTATCATACTCAAATCGCGAACCTGGAATATTATCACTGACTAAAATTGGATCAAAGTGTTCGTTTCTGAATTTTTGCAAATTTTTCCCGTAATATTTTACTTGAGGTTCATGCTTTGAAAAATTCTGCTATTATATAGCAACGATTGGAGTCTCGTTTAATGTCTGGTTGTCTGGCCATCGACTCCCAACCGTTTAAAGCATTTTCTATCTCGTTGGAAAGATATTATTGAATTCTAAAACTCGTCTTCAGGCGTCGGATTCAAAATATTAAGGGATGGTTACCTAACGAACGGAATTTTGAATCCAAGATTGTATGTACGCTAAAAATGTTCTATTTACGCTGAAAACGCTAAAAACACAGAGAACTGGCTTAGTATTTCAACGCGGGCGTGATGGTCGTGGACGCGTCCGCAATTACAGATAGAACTGATAACCCCATCCATTCCAACCCCCGCATGCTTGACATTTCAGTCAGCCACCACAAAACCCTCTCTACGGCAATAACCAGAGTGGACATCCTTCACATGCTTATATGGGACATCTGGATACAATTTTATGTAACTCAACCGAGTCATTGTTTTATGGGACTTAACTCATGCCTTATCTACTTCTTCTACTAACCATGGTTCTGCAGATTCTCCATCTTTTGAGAATACACTTGGTTTTGTACCTTCTCTTGTAGTCTGTCAGATTTCTCATTCTCTAGGTCACTCAACTGTTTCATGTCCTTGTTTTGTTCAATCTCAAAACTCTGCCTTACCTGTCTCCTCTGGCCAGTTCACTTCAGTTGTTTGGTATCTTGACTCTGGTGCTTCCACTCAAAACTCTGCCGTACCGGTTATGACGATTGGTACTATGACTTTACTTGTGCTATCTTGTACGCTCAATTTAAAATCTGTTTACCATGTTCCTCATATTAAATATAATTTATTATTCATTCAAAAATTATGTTCCGATAATAACTATTTGGTATTTTTTAATAAAAATTTTGTGTTTGTAAAGGACAAACCCTCTAGGGCGGTGCTTCTTCAAGCTTCCAGTAATGGTGGCGTTTATCCTATCTCCTTTGCCTCACAACCATCGGTTGCTCTTAGTACTCATGTTGCTCCTGGATTGTTTGGCATCGACGCTTGAGATACTATTGAATTTGCATTTTAGATAAACTTAAGAAGTCTAGCTTTGTTTTTAGTGCTTCTCAATTTTCTCATGATTGTATTTCCTAGGAAAATCACAATGATCACCTTTCCAGGAGGTCTGGCATAAATCTACTACTTTATTTTTAATTCATTCTTATGTGTGACAATCTCCTGTCTTTTTTTAATCTGATTTTAAATATTATGTGCTCTTTATTGATGAATTTTCTCAATTTACTTGGTTGTACCCCATGGGCCTCATAAAAGCCAAGTTCTGCGCCATTTTCAACATTTTAAATTAAAAGTGGAAAATTTACTCAGTTCTAAAATTAAAAAATTTCAAAGTGATGGAAGGGGTGAGTTTGATAATCACGGTATGCGGGACATATTTATAAAAAAATGACATTTTATTTCACAAATCTGGTCCTCACACATCTCAACAAAATGGGTTGTTGAAAGAAAACATCGTCATCTTCTTGAATTATCTCGCACTATGTTATTTGAGGCAAAGCTGTCTGCAAAGTGTTGGGTTGATGTTGTTCTCGCTGCTACCTATGTTATCAATCGTTTCCCTACTCCAAATTTAAATGGTTTACCCCCCCCCCCCCCCCCCCCCCGAAAACCTTTTAATCATCCGCCATTTTATGCGCGATTTGCGTGTGCTTACTTTCCTTAATACAAGGGTTATCGTTGTGTAGATCTTGTAGCAAGATTTACATAAATCGAAATGTCTGTTGAGTTTTTATTAAAATCATTTTCCTTATTTTGAGTTAACTATCACTGAACTGGCATATACTAATACTGTGTTACTTCTATGGTCCCCATCTCCGTTCATCTCATACCCTTCTCCACTGCCACCGGCTGCATTACCCGCAACCCCTCTCCTAGCACCGGTCAGTCTGGTGGTTGACCTGCCGTCTCCCACACACCCACCATCTTCCTCCACGAATTCTGCACCTCAGAATCCCTCACATGTTTCCGCCTCCTCGCCATCTTCACCGGCAACCACGTCTGCAATTTCCGAGCCTAGCCTTTCTGATGACTCTACTTCCGCCACTCCTACCTCACCATCTATCGCCCTAGCTACATGTGAATTTTCGTCCCAAGCAAACATAGTCTAAATCTGGAATTTATAAACCAAAAATTATTTTTACTTTAAAAATATATATTTCGGCATGTGACCCAACTTGTTTTTCTATTGCTAATAAAGATGTTAAATGGAGAGCAGTTATGGCGGAGGAATTTTATGCTCTTATTAAAAACCATACATGAGCTTTAGTTACATCTAACTCTTGTAAAAATGTGTTTGGGTCTAAATGGATATATAGAACCAAATTTAATTTGGATGGATCAACAGAACGTTTTAAAGCACGTCTGGTTGCACAAGGTTTCTACCAGCAGGTTGGTGTTGATTTTTCTGAAACATATAGTCTTGTCATCAAACTTAATTACTATTATTCGTATTGTCCTCACTCTTACTAAGGAAGTCTATGTGTGTCAACCTCCGGATTTTGTTCATCCCCAATTTCCTAATCATATTTATCGTCTCTAAGAGGCATACATGGTCTCAAACAGGCGCCACACGCCAAGTTCTATCGCTTTAATAGATTTCTCTTGACTCGTGGTTTTTGTGAGCAGTAACTATATTGTATGAAACATATATTTAGCCGTATTTTATACAATTGTATCGTATTATACACGATCATACATATTACTGTATTATTCACGAATTGTATAATACTAACAAATGTAGTAAGTCTGATAACTCCTTATTTATTTTCAGGCATGATTCGAATATTTTGTATCTTCTTCTCTATGTTGATGATATTATTATTATTATCATAGGCATTGTTCTAAAACTCGCTAGGCGCTAGTCGGGTGGTTGAGTGGCGCCTAGCGTCTTGGTGGCAGACTAGGTCGATTAATCCTCTACCGTTGCGGCCGACTAGGACAATTAATCGATCTGACTACGCCGATTTTTAGAACAATGATTACAAGTAATTCTAGCTCCTTATTTAATTCAAAACTTTATTTTGTGTCTTGGCCAATACTTTGCTATGAATGATTTGGGATATTTGCATTTTTTCTTGGGGTGCAGGCCGTTCATACATCTCACAGGTTGTTTTTGTCTCAACGAAAATACGTGTCTGACTTATTAACTAAGTTTCATCTTCATACTCTTAAACCAATTCGTACCCCTCTCTCACTTATAGAGAGCTCCGTACATATTCTAATGAGTATCGTAGTATGGTAGGTTCTTTGCATTATTTGACCTTGACTCGATTTGATATTACATTTTATGTTCACTGGCCTCGTTTCTCAATTTATGCATGGCCCTCATACTTCACATATTTTGGCTGTTAAGTGAATTTTCAGAGGTCTTCAGATTTTGGGTTGATGCTACAACCGAGCTCTATGTCCCACTCGATTTTAGCTTATTCTGATGCCGACTAGGCTAGTCACT